TAGGCACAGAGTGCATCAATTATTCACTTTGGCACAGAGTGCATCCACTACTCACTTTGGCACAGAGTGCATCAATTATTCACTTTGGCACAGAGTGTATCAACAATTCACTCTGGCACAGAATGCATCAACTATTCACTCTGGCACAGAATGCATCAACTATTCACTCTGGCACAGAGTGCATCAACTATTCACTCTGGCACAGAGTGCATCAACTATTCACTCTGGCACAGAATGCATCAACTGTTCACTTTGGCACAGAGTGGATTAACTATTCACTTTGGCACAGAGTGCATCAACTATTCACTCTGGCACAGAGTGCATCAACTATTCACTCTGGCACAGAATGCATCAACTATTCACTCTGGCACAGAGTGCATCAACTATTCACTCTGGCACAGAATGCATCAACTGTTCACTTTGGCACAGAGTGCATCAACTATTCACTTTGGCACAGAGTGGATTAACTATTCACTTTGGCACAGAGTGCACCAACTATTCACTCTTGCACTGAGTGCAACAAATACTCACATTGGCACAGAGTGTGCCCCACAGAAGGTGCTGGAAATCTCGATTGGCAGCTCCCGTCTTGCCCGCTCCAGGACCCGCAGCATCTTCATCTCTGTTGCCGTCTCCAGGCCATAGCCACTCTTACACTCAGCAAGTGTGGTGCCCGCCTGGAGCATACCCTCCAGACGGGGCTGCAGGAGGTTGTACAGCTCGTCTTCAGAGGCAGCACGCGTGTGCTCGACGGTGAAGCCGATCCCACCCCCAGCCTTGTGGACATCCATGTAGCTAGCACCAGCAATCTGGTGAATTAAAAGAAAGTTTAGTGTCCTCAAAAGAGATTTAACAGGCTTCTTCAGGGTTTCCAGCAGTGGATGAAAATGGCATTCAATTACGTTTCCCTGGGTTAGATAAAGATTGAAAATTTTAAGATAATTATTGAGACCTACATGTATTTCTTGTCAGATGTCTTCAATGTTGTAGAGGACATACCAGACATGAACAAAATAAAACAGACTGACCAATTTCTCTTTCAGGCCAATTAAATTCAAATTTGGCAGGAAATTCTTGCACCTGCCTACATATATGCGCAGGGTACATTTTTTCTTCAGCTGAAAGGCTTTGTGTACATCAAACAGAACATCTGTGTAGTGCTGCAGTCAATCTGCTGAACCCCTCCAAAAAAACCATCTAACATGGCACTTTCGAACAAAAACTTAACCAAACTGGTTGGTTCAGATGTTTGGCTTTAATATGGCATGGCATTGCTAGCGCACAGAATGCATGCAAGAAAACTTGATAAAAAAGCAAACACGACGACAAATGGATTACGAGGTGTGCCACACCAGCGCTGGCGCTCAGCACATGTACATGCACTGTACACATGTACTGTATAAATTTACATGTATATGTACAGTAAACTAACGGTGGCCCTGCATCACGTGATGGTTGTAACAAGCACAGGGTGAGAATTCACTAAAAATCAACCAAGAACATGCAACCTACTGGTACAGCATTTCCACTGCACAACAATTCTAAATTCTTACTACATCGACCTGTGCTTATGAAATTATGTTTGCCAATCTCTGATAGCCACGCCCTAATTATATTCCATGCTAGGCCAATGATGTCCTAAATGGCTGTGCAAAAAGAAAAATTTGATTGAATGCTGATCACAGTTGGACTCATGCTTAATCACGGGCAACTCCTGAGGGAAAACTGATTTTGCCAGGCCGGCTGGTGCAGCGATCCAGTGCATGACAAGATTTGTTTCGAACAGTGGCCAAAAACTGATGGAAAATCGCCCCTTTGGCCACATGGGCGCCGTCCTGGGAAATTAAGAATGCCGAAGGTTCTTTGAATACATCGAAAGCCATAGTTTGGTAGTTGAATCTGTTCTGTGAAAAATAAACCAAAACACAATTTGTTGGAAATCTAATTTCATCTTGTATCCTGTAAAGTTCGAAACTCCCATTTGAGCATGCTGTTTTTTCTACAATTCTTTTGTTGAGTCAAGCGTGGTCCTTACACAACCGCTTCTGGTCTATAAAAATGGTTGGGAACTGTCATACAGCATGCACTGCATCTTTTTGTGGGTTCTTGTGAGCTTGCCACAGTGTCAGTGTACATGTAAGCAGATACAGAACTGGAGAACCACCTGTATCACACAGAGCCTTATGGTGAAACTGACCTTCATAGCAAACTCGTGAACTCTGTCACCTGCCCAGACAGGATGTGTGTGACCATCTACTAGGCCTGTTGGATCAGGAAGCCAAAGAAAAAACTCAGTGAGTCAGTGTGCACATATGACTTGCAATTTAATCCCCTTCCCTAGACACTTACACATATACATCATGTACATTATGCATAACCCTCTTTCTGGGTCAATCCTCCATTCCTTTGACTTTTGGACAGTTCCACATAATGGTACCTTAACTTGTCACTGTCTTCATAGAGAAGACCAAAACATGGTTTATAAGACCCCAACGATTGAGGTTGCATTAGATCACAAATGGGACACGTATTGTTCTAAGTTTGCAAGTGATGAATTTTGTACTTGCATTTTTGTGAACTTGAACTCATCTTCAAAGAATGAAAACTACATGTACATGTACATGTATCTAACATCCTTTTGAGGTTAAATGTATTGAAAAGTGCACTTTTTGAAAATAGATTTCTCGATATCTAAGGGCATAGTTGCTATGATTGCTATGATGTCATTCATGGAAGGCAATGTAAATACATGTACAAAAAATGTATGCTTTCTGTACAAACTTTGAAAACATTTCTGGGAAAGGGTTGCTCAATGGATTATTGCCATACAATATACATGTACATGTAGCAAAACAACACTGAATCACCAAAAAAACAGAATTAAGGACAACAAAATATCAATATTTATCCCATAATATAAATCAGTACCCGGAATGGCACATCAAAGTTTTTGACATGAATATGGAAATTTGTATTCGTATAATAACCAGAACACCAAAACACTCATTAAATATGTAAAACAGAAATTGAAAATAAAAATTAAGAGACACAGCTTTAGCTGTGTCTCTTAATTTTTTTAAGAATTGTTCACAGTAACAAGAAGCACTGCGTGGACCAAAGCAGTGTTGTACTAGTTGTACATGTAGTAGTTGTACTCCGTACTCGTACTCGAGTACTACTCGAGTACCATTTTCAGAGTACTCGTACTTGTACTCGGACGTCCAAGTACTCGTACTCGATATTCAATACGGTTCTGACAAAGAGAAGGCCGAACGTGGGACCATTAACGCATACGACCCATTTGCCGTCTGTGAGCGTACTTAACCAATCACGTACGCAAATTATATTGTGGTAATCCAGAATGGTCACGCAATTTACTTGGGCATTGGTAGTCTGGTTCCTGGACCCGAAAATTCTAACAACGAACCAAGCATACAGAAAATCATAGGCATGTGAATAATTGAGTCTGGAAAATAGACTTCGCCGCGCTGTGCACGTTGAGTCAACTGCTGCAACGCACATGTAGTGACCGTGATATTGCTAACCAGATCACTTGTTCTTGTAGCCATGTCATCTGCATTCGGTGTTTCTTTCACACAGTGGCAGGTCTTAGAGTCTTCAAATTAAGATAAAACTACTTTTGAATTAGAATTACTTGTACTCGTACTCAGAATTAGAAGTACTTGTACTCAGAAGTGCAAGTGCTTGTACTCGGAAACCAGTACTTGTACTCGGCTGGCAAAGTACTCGCCCTGTCTTTGTACTCGGCAGTCAAAGTACTTGGCCGTACTTGGACCTCGGAAAAAAGTACTCGACTACAACACTGCAGTCTAGGTCCTGTCTCCAAGTCCAATCTACATGTACATGTACATGTATGTGTACATGTAGTTATAGCATTTCTGCACACTTGTACTCTCACCTGGTAGTACACACATTCCACTCACATCCAGAACATGGTCAAATGTTGCATGACTGTACTTTTGATCTAAAGCTGAGGAACAACCTATGTCTTCTATCATTCCACTCCTGGGAAAAGAGAATGTTTAACAGACATGTCAAGTTTACACGTATCTAAAATTTGTGACAGCAATGTATAGTTCAATGCTGGCTACATTAGGAATGCTATTGTACATGTATTACATTTAAATTAATACAGAAATGTATTATACATTTTCTGCACACGAGTGTGGTCTAAGACATTTCAGAAACACACCAATACTTGTAGCCAATAACCTAGGGCTCCTACACTGTAGGTATACATGTACATGTATACAGCTTAAATGAAGTAATAGGTAGGCCTGCCCCCCTCAAGCAGAAGCACCTCCTTATCAATTGAAAGAGCCTTGCTGGTCATGAGTGTTTATTTTGTTGGTAGTGCTGTAACCATAACATTCATGAGCATAAATAGTTGTTCATGAACCAGTGAAGTTCAGTTTTGACTGAAGGAACATCCGTTGCTACGCGTAAAAAGAACAAATAGGGCCTAACAAAGAATAAAGCAGACTAAAGAATTGGAATAATACCAACAGAATTTTAAAAGAGAAGAGGTGAGATGACAATGCACAAACTGAAGCTCACAGGTTAACAACGATGCTGACACCTTCCTGGGCGGCCCCGCATCCATTTATTCCCGGTGATGACTCCGGCATCACAGCGACCTGGCCCATCTCTTTGCCGCGCAGCACAAGCTGGTTACCACTGGAGACCACAGCAACTTGCTTCGCATTTTTCACAAGAAGCTTGAACCTGCTGTTACTATTAAAACTCATCTCAAGCAGTCTCAGTTATGAAATGTAGTCGGGGCGCAACAAGATTAATTTGATGCCAACCACGTACATGTACCACTGAAATGCCGAAAATGCTCTGGATCTACCGTCGTTGGACAGCGCATACATGTAGAGTACATAATTATACAGTACCTGTACACAAACAGCACATATACTGTACATGTACAGCTTTGACGGTACATCGAGCCGGCCGTGTCCAAATCAACTGGCTGTGGCCGGGATCCGGGACAACACATACAACGAAGACGGAATTGTCAGCAGTAGTCGCCAATTTAATGTGTCTTTTGGAGGGTGATTGCCAGCCTGACGCCCTCCATCGGCGGGATGCCTAAACATTAAATTAGTGTGGGTAATTTCGGCTCGTAATGTACTGAACACACCGAACCAAAGCAAGCCTGAGTGCAGAACTTAATTCTAGGCTGACTCATTGGATCTCCATGGTCGGACCTTGCCAGAACCTTCACAGAAAACTCTCTCCTCATAATAAAACTCATGCTAGTGAATTCCACATGCAGGGGCGGATCAAAGATTTTCGAGGACGGGGAGTGAACTACAAAATCGAGAGTCGCAGCCCTTAATTTGGACGGTTGGGTAACCTGAAGCAGAACACTTTTGTCACAATTATGAGGCTGGGTCCCTCCCTTTTTTCTCTTCCTTCTACCTCTTTTTTCCCCTTTTTATCCATTTATTTAAGTATTTCTTTTTGGTGAAAAGAAGAATTTGACGAAACTGATACTAGGAATACATGTATACTCAAAGATAAGGACTTTTCCAAATGTGTACTTATTTGTTGTAATAAATTCATCTGCTTAGATATAAGGGATGTTCGGTTGAAACTCAAGCCAAGGAAACGAAAGGCAATCAGAAAACTGTGGCTTAATTCCCACAATAGTTTTTAATGGGTAGTTCCAGAAATGAGGGGTCCAAAATTGTGACTTTTTTGTCTCCGTTGCACTTGACCTTTATTAGTGATATGGAAATATCACCGGAATTGATTTAAAACTATTACTGTTTGTTTGGCAGGTAATTCCATCTCTCTTTGAAATTAGTAAATGTAGTCTGAACTTACTAAGAGCTGTATTTCGATATCATCAGATAGCTGAATCTGTTTGCCGCCCCATCGACGCATTTTTTTTCTTTATCCTGAGCGGTCGATCTTGCAGTGGAACTGAACTCCCCAAATGACGATTTTTTTTATAATTGCGAAGAGAAGCTGCCACGTTAGTCATGATAATTATAGGCAACAATGACCAATTCCCTGTTAAATAACCATTTTACGTACAAGCAATGTGACTGATTCTTAATACTAGGCAACACGTATACCTTCAGTGGTGCAATTTATGCCTTGCGCAATCGGGTACGTCAATAGTGTGAGGGTCAGAAATATTGTTATATATTGAATTAACTTGATACATGTATTAGCAAATGAAGGGCTGCTTAAGTACGCGTTGTTTGACCCTTAGTTTCACTTTACAATACTCATGCTACAACACTCTTGTGTTTTCAGTCCGAGTCATTCAGGATATGTAACCCGCCAGTCAGAGACTGATTTTCGTGACAAAAATCAAATGGTAGTGGACATCACCTTATAAAATTAATCTAATCATTGTCTGAAACGTTGTCAATCACACAGCACTGCACAGGCTACCTCTAACAGTCCATATAAATGCACCAATTCGTCCCCCTGGATGGGGCGTCTTTGTGTACGATCATTTACTGTTACGCCAATTATTCCTTGGAAACACAATCTCGTTCATATGTGTCCTGCGATAGCTAATGTTCTCGACGCTATTTTAACAAACTATGCAAAAACGAGGGCCGACCGTCTTTTGGTTCAACAGTTTCCTAAAATTCTTCAAATATTAGCAGAAGAGTCTTTCCAACGCGCCGATCTCCTGAATGCTCTGAATGGGAATGGAATTCAATTTTGCGGGAGCAACTTAACAGTGATTGACAGCACTACCACGTGCCCTTTCTTGGTAGAGTTGCTTTGAAGAGCAACATAGCCTTGCACGCGTACTGAAGGCCCCTCTCAATTTTGGCGGTTCTCTTCTACTACCGTGAACTGATCATAACTTGCAAAAACAATACAAGCAAAAGCAGACATGTGCAGCGAAAAACTACCTGGTGAAAGAGATATTTTTTGGCCTATGCATTCAAGAAAACCAGCACCTAGTTTTGTTTGACAAGACTGCAAATGGCTGCGGTTGTGAGTTGTGGGTTAACTTGCATACTATGCTGTCCAGCGCATCGCACGAGTTCAGCTGTGCTGCTCGTGTGAGTAGGCCTATCCATCACGGCCGTAACCGCCACGTCGACCACGTAAGCATCAAACTCGTGGTAACAACAGCTCCTTACCGAACGGAATCGAGTCGTGTCCAGCATTGGTGTTGAATGAGGTACATTTGGTACCATTCCCTTGAAGTTGTTGAGGTGTTCATCATTTATACATGAACGAAAGTGGCGCTGTGGGAAAACTAGTACTTCAAAGCCAGGACACAGGGATGCACACAAGACGGCGAGACCGCACCAACCGTCAGCTGGAAGGATTTGCTGGCAATGTGGTTCGCAATTTCAATGCGGCAAGGACAACTAAGTCTATCCAGACAAGAAAATAAGGCTGCAGAAAGGCAGGTAAGAACTGAACCTAGATAAATACATAATTATATCCTCGATATAGGACTCCCGTCAACTGTTACGCAGTTTGGAGTTTAGCTTTGGCATTTCTGAGGGCTGCTTACTGCTGAAGATGAACGCACAAGCATCAAAATGGCGGCTGCTGCATCACCAACTGCAAAAGCATGTACGCAAACAATGTTTTTGTATGCATCGTGGTGCAGAAGATATACGAAAATACTAAAGCGACTGTAGTAGTATTCACTTCCAGTATCAAAAAACCCCTCAAATTGTTTATTTGGGAACGTTTTACTCATACGAAAATGTATCCCATCCCGCGCTACGTTACGGCTAAAACATAATATAATACTGACCGACAATGTAACAAATATGGCCTATATTGTACCCTCCAAGTGACTAATAACGGAAGAGGCCACTCATATAATATTTTCAGTCATGTAGGTCTGTGACCGGTCTCAAGACCAGTTTTATTTTAGTCTTGGCTTGAGACCAGCAATATGTAATGTTTTTATTCCTTTAATCAATTGAATTATGTTATTCCAGTATCTTACTATCGAGTTTTTAGAGTAGTTACAGTACACCGCAGTTTCAGGTTCAGCCTACTTTTATTTCAGGAGGTGTATTATGCATGTTCTACTTCAAGGGGTTGAGCATAGTCGTAATGACTCGAGTCAAAATAATTATAATGTATTGTGTGACATTTTCCAGATGAATGTATTAAAAATCGAAAGCTCGGTCAATGGATAGTTATTTTCGAAGGTTTTGCTGTTCCAAACTATTTGGGACCCAAAGTTATTGAAGCTAAATACTTGACTTGACCCGACGTTTTGGTCTAATGTCCCTGTTACACCCCAACTATAGCATAAGTCCCAACTATAGTTGGGACAGTCCCAACTGTAGTGCTGCAGTTGGGCTGGCCCAACTATTGTTGACCAATGTCTGATGGAAATGTCTCAACATTATCCGAGTCAATGTGTCTCACACTTGACACAATTCATCAAAAATGTGGCACTTGGCCCTATGACCAATGACATGACATTTGTAAACAATATGACTTTGGCACAAGCTGGGCACATGATGCACACAGGACCTCTCTGATGTAGTTGGGCCGGTCCAACTGTAGCACTCTAGTTGGGACGGGCCCAACTATAGTTGGGACTGATGCTATAGTTGTGGCGTAACACACCACTCGACTAGAGACAGTACGTTCAAGCGACTCCATTCGCACATATTGTAAGTTTTTTTGTCGTCAGTGCTTTATCTGTGTGAAGAACTACACTAGTTAAGCACTTGATGTAGTTGGCTTCAATGTTTTAGCTATCATGTAATGGACAATTCACTCTGAAATCTTTCACGGTGGACGTTTTACCGAATTTTGAAGAGGAAAAGGACGTATTTTATTAGGACTTCCGGTATGATAACGTCATCGGCCCCAAATTGCTCACATTTGTTAAATGGGTAAATATCATCATCCACGTCAATCTTCAGGCGATTCGGACAAACTTCACCACAGCCATTTTCAAAATTCATTTTTCAGAATTTTTAACCTGTCACTAGAGGGTGCTCGACAAGTACGTAACGTAATCTGTTGGTGATTTGAAGAATACTTTAGCCACACGAGATGAATTGGAGACCACATTGAAGACAACATCATTTTGAAGTGCAAAGTTTGAACCCGATGGAGCATTTGTGCCGTTGATATGGGGTTGGAGGAGTGCACCTTTATTGTTACATGACTTGTAACCTGCTGACTTCATCACATGAGGTTTATATTCGTTTAAATCACTTCCCCTTCAAAATATCTACAAGGTCTGAACCCATTTGGCCATATACTTCAGGAGATATAGTTTTTAATCGTTCAAGTTTAATGTCACATAACTTGCCATTTGATGACATCATTACATGACGACAATATTTGCGTAACGCACTTCTTTTCTGAGATATCGATTTCGCAAATATTGTAAGGGGGTTTTTGTCGTCAGTGGAACTTGCGACCCCCCCTCAAAAAAAAGAATGCCATTTTAGGAACATGCGAAAAAGCCAAAAAAAAAGTGAAAAGAGAAGAAAAAAGAACATAAAGAGTACCTTTTTCGCAACATGTCTCGAAAAAAACGGCCGCTGTGCTAATACTTAATGATTCACAGAATGGTTTCACAATGACTAAAATACTCCTAAAGCCCAGGTATTTAAAAATGTACTGTAGCGATGTCCGTTAAAAAAAATCGATGCAGGATCTTTTCAGATCCCTTAGTGTTAAGTTGCTTTTTTGGGTCAATTGGTATCTCGTCCCAATCATTTCTGAGGAAAATCAGAATAATGCGCCATTATTAGCGATTCGTTACTGCCAAATTTGTATATATAATATTCTTATACATGGACTGAATTTTTAATGAATAATTTGATACATAATGTTTAGAGCATTTGCAAGTTATTCTGTTTATTCTTCGTCTTGGGGGCATCTGTAAGAACACACGTTCTTTTATCCTGTGATGTAAGTTTCATATTTGTATTTGCTGTAGTTAGTGAAATAACTCTGAAAGAAGCTATAAAGGTTCTTGACCTACTGTTTCCCTATTTCTTTTTCTGAAATCCTGCATTTGTCCACATTTTTCCTCACAAAGATGCCTGCATATGTTGGATCATACATGACGTGAAAATCGTCCAAATCTTGCAATCT